AAAAGGCCTCTCTGGAGTCACCCAGGCCAGCCCCACTTACAGATGTGAAAGCTGCAGTCACACGGTGACCCGGCAGCAGACTCTCCTCCCACGGGCAGATGCAAGGCAGCGCCATGGCGTCTGCATAACGAGTGAGAAGGAGTAAGGGCCAGGACTCTCCACAGGTGGGAATGGGCCAGGGTCATCCCAACCTATCACCCCAGTGTGCCCCTCATGCTGGCTGCTCCTAGTGCCCCAAAAGCCTCCTGCAGCCCAGGGCTGCTCTCTGGGCCTGGGGTCCTCAGCCGATACTCTCCATGGTCTTTAAATGTGTTTTCTTGATGATACTGGAATGGGACCGGGAGCCCAGCTGTCACCCCTCTAGGCTGTACTCTCCTGAAGGCCAAGGGCTGTGTCTCCTTCTGAGCGAGTGAGTGGGTGTGGGTGGGTGGGCATGCCCTGTAGGACCGGGGTCATGGCCTTTCTCAGGAGGAAGGTCAAGCTGATAGAGACCTGCACTTTCCCAGGACTGGGCCGTCCCCTGATGGGTGAAGCTTTGCCTCTAAAGAGGGAGCTGCGTCTGGGAAATAAGCTTCAGCCCGGAGGAAATGGGAGCTGTGAGGGCTCTGGGAGCAGCTGGAACCAGAAGAGCCTGGTTCTGGCAGAGATGAATTCCGTGTACTCACTCGGAGATGCTGCTGTTCCCTGGATGGTCCTCAGCACTCTGTTTCGGGGACACCTTGAGAAGGACAAAAGGAAGAGGCATCAAAAAGTTGTCAGTGGTGCAGCCTCCTCATGCTCGGCCTTTCTGCCGACGGACGATGGCACCACGTCCTGTCCAGGACCAAATAAGTCAGAGCTGAGAAGGCTCCGTTGGGCTGTCTAGTTCCACCTGCTCATTTTACAGGTGGGAAATTGAGAGGGGAGTGACTTTACAAAGCTCACGCAGGCTCCCTGCTTCCAGACAGCTCCCTGGCCAGCACCCCGATCTCCCACCTCCCCACCTGCACCGGAACGCCTTCCCCGAGGCACTGCACTGCTTCTCGGTCCTCAGTCGAGGGTGCACGCACGTAGCACGCCATAGCTTTGGAATAAGCCTTGACGCCTGCTAAAGCGATTCCTCCCACCTTTTTTGTTTTTCTTCGAAAGAGTCTTGACTATTCTTGGTTCTTTGCACTTCCATATATATGTATTGGACTCAGCTCCTCCCCCTTGGAGATGTTGTTGGAGTTGTATTAATATACAAATCATTTTAGAGAGAATTGATATCTTTATAGTAACGAGTTTTCAGATTTATAAACAGGGAATATTTCTCTATTCATTCAGGGCTTCTTTAATGTCTTTTAAGAAGTCTTATCATTTTCCCTGTAGAGGCCATGGATATCTCCTTTTAGACCAATTCCTAGATACTTCATACTTGTAATGCTATTATCAATGTTATCTTTTCAAATAAAAGTTTTTTACCTGCGTGTTGCTGCAGGTATAGAACTGAGGGGTGTGTGTGTGTGTGTGTGTGTGTGTGTGTGTGTGTGTGTGTGTAATTTATTTACAGATTCTTTGTGGATTTCCTTTGTTCCCATTCACATTAGCTGGGAATAATGACCATTTGATTTTTCTCTTTCCAGTCCGTGCACACGTCCCCTGTCTTTTCCGTGCTGGCTTGACGTCCACCGCTACAGTGGAAAGCAGGGAGGACGGCACGCACCTTTGTCCTGCTCTTTTATTGAAAGGGAAAGTTTTCATCGTTTCACAGCAATATTGGGTTTGCTGTGGCTTTTTCCTTGCGCGATCCTGTATCAGATCCTTGTCCCTCTGTGCTGTGTTCTGGGTCATTTCTTCAGCTCTATCTTCCAGTGTACTGATCTTCTCTTCACCTTTATCTAATCTAGTAACCCAAACCATCTAGATCTTTAATTTTATTTATTGTATTTTCCATTTCTCCAAGCTCCATTTGTTTCTTTTTCAAATCGCTAGGTCACTTCCTATAGGCCCTTGTTTTTTACAAGTACTTTCCTTAAACATAATAAACATAGTTGATTACAATCTGTGTCTGGTAATCCAAATAACTAAAGTCTTCATTGACCTGTTTTTGTTGTCTATCGTTTCTTCTACCTTTCCCTTAGTTCCCTGGGTAGCTGGTTATTTTTTTATTGTTTGCTGCTTTCTTATCCTTGAAAATGTCTCTGTGGGTATTCTCTGAGGCCTAAGCGATGACTTCCTCCAGAGGGGACATGCATTTGCTTTTGCCAGGCACCTGAGGCGGCATTCCCAGTCTGGAACTACTTGAAATTAAATCTACGCAATCAGGTGTCTTGGACCACCCAGGTAATGTGGATTTGGGCTGTGAACCTAAGAGGTGGCTAGACTGTGCTTATAAATTCTCAGTGCTTTGTCACCCTGCTCTCTTCTGTGTTATCACCCTTTAACTTTCAGTCCCCTGAGATACACACAGTGGAATATCATTCAGCCTTAAATTCAGCTGAGGGTCCTAGCTCTATGAGGGAAGGCTCTACTATTGGACTCCTTACTTTCATTGGGCCTTAAATTCTGTTCCCTTTACTGTTGGATACCATCGGACCCCAAACCAAGTTCATTTCCATGCACTGGCCAGAAAAGGTTGTTCTTGCTTGCCTGGCATTATCTCCAAGCGGAGGGTGGCTGCACAGCAAAGGGGCACAGCCCTGTTCCCAAGGAGCCAACCAGGGCTGCTGGTGGCTGCTGATCTTATCATGGGAGTCAATATTCACTGAACATTCCTTTGAATATTCATTGTGACTTTGAAGAATATAAAGATGAAAAAATGACTCCCAAGTCAGCAAGGAATTCACAGTAGGAAGGGGGACAGAGAATGGGGACAGGGCAATGAAGAATAGAGAGAGGAGAGAAAGACTCTCTCTCTCTCTCTCTCTCTCTCTCTCTGTCTGTCTCTCTCTCTCTCTCTCCCTCGCCCTTCTCTCACCTCCATTGCCTCTGGAAGCAGCCCATTCTAGCTCAGGGCAGGCTCAGGCTATCTGAAAGTTCTTTTTAATTTTCTTTTTTATTAAAAAAAATTTTAATTGTGGCAAAACACACATAACCTAAAATTTACCATCCTAACCATTTTTAAGTGTACAGCTCAGTATTGTTAGGTACATTCACGACATGGTGCGACCAATCTCAAGAACTCTTTTCATGTCGCAAAACCTAAACTGTCCCCATTAAATCACAACTCGCAGCCCCCGGCCCCGGTGCCAGCATTCTACTTTCCGTCCTGCGGATCTGACCCCTTCCGACACCTCACCTCAGGGGAGTCACACGCCACTTGCCCTCCTGTGTCTGGTTTATTTCACTTAGCATAATGCGTTCAAGGTTCATTCATGTCATAGCCTATGCCAACTTCCTTTCTCTCTGAGGCGGAATCATATTCCATTGTGTGCATGTACACGTGGCCCTCCATATCTGTGGGTTCTGCATCCACAGATTCAACCAACTGCAGTTCGAAAATATTCAGAAAAAAGCGAACATTGTTGCTGACGCGTCCTATGTCATTAGGCCTATGATGGCTGGGTCTGCACTGAACATGCACAGACTTTTTTCTTGTCATTATTCCCTAAACAATACAGCAGAACAACTGTTTACATAGTATTCACATTGTAATGTATTCTAAGTAATCTGGAGATGATTTAAATACATGGGAAGACGTGCATAGGTTCTATGCAAATACTACACCACTTGACATAAGGGACTCGAGTGTCCGTGGACTTTGCTATCCACAGGGGCCCAGGAATCAATCCCTTGTGGGTATGTACTGAGGGACGGCTATACCCCGTTTCCTTTATCCATTTTGTTTGTGATTTTGTTTATCCATCCGTTGATGGACACTAGGGTTGCTTCCACGTTTGGGCTACTGGGAATAACACTCCTATGTACGTGGTATACAGATATCTACTTGAGACCCTGCTTTCAATTCTCTTGGGTATATGGTGTATGCAAGTTCTGTCTTATATTGACGCCAGTCTGCTTCCCTACAGCTGCCAGTCACTGGGCCTGGTTATACATAAGAAAAGTAATACTTCTGCCCAGCCATCCTTCGGCTATTTTTTATGAAGTCATCCTATAGAGACCTTAGTTCCCTCTTGTCGGTTTCTGCTGGAACCGGCTTTTGCTGTCACCTGCTGTGGCTTTTCCTTTCATCACCAGATTCTGAAGTCTTGTTACAGATATAGTTTCTGCCAGGGGGGCCACTGGGTGAAAGAGCACAAGACTGGAATCAGACGTCTCCGCGATCAGCCTGGGCCCCACTTCTCCGCAACGCTCTGCTCACTGCTAACGGGGACACGCTGCCGGCCTCCCAGGGCACGGATGACCGGGCGCGCCATCCCGTCTCCGAACCGTACGCCCTAAAGCTGCGTTCAGAAGGAAAGTCATACTCTTTCTGCCGTAATTTCCCTGACGGTTCGGACTTATTACATCTGTTCAGTTTTCACCCGTGTTTCTTTCTGTGCCTGCGATTTGAATGTGTGGTCCTTTCTCTGGTCAATTTTCGCCTTTAACTTGACTTTCTCAGATGGGAAATGTGTCAGACGCCTTCCTAAAAACACAGCTTGCTGAAGCAGCCAGGGGAGCTGGGATGAAAAGCAAAAACGCAGCAGCCCCTGGCGGCTGCTCCAGGCCTAGTGCAGACGCAAGTTCCCGCCACCGGCCAGCTGGCGGCCTGCCACCTTGCGGTCAGACATCTGGACCCTGGGGAGCGTGGCGCCTGGGCTGGGGTCGTGAGAACAGGGCTGAGCTCACGGAGGTGTGAGTGTGTCTGGGCGGGGCGAGGACGTGTCATCGCTGGAGACCCTAGGGAGGCCCTGAGAAACAAGAAGCAGAGAATATACGAGGAGGAAGTGAACGCGATGATCTCTTAAAGTCTCCTCTGACTTGGACAGGTAGGGTTTTTGTTTTGTTTTGTTTTGTTTTGAGAAAAGTGAAGGATCCACAGTTAATTTTTAGAAAGTGTACCACATATCTACTTATCAAAGTATATTATATGCTGCTTCTTCCGTTTAAAGAGTTCTCTCCTTAACTTAATTCTTAGCAGCTTTATATGTATATATGTGCACATACCAATGAGTTATGTATATATAATCCACATAGAACAAGCAGCAGATGTTTAAAGGATACGGTTTGGTAGGGTTTGACCTGTGCATATACCTGTGAACCCACCACACAGTGACGATGCGATGGGTTCACAGGTATGTGCACAGGTCAAACCCCACCACTCCCCGCCCGCCCACCTGGCAACCACTGCTCTGAGGGATACGCCACTGCATGGCAGACTTCCCCCTTCCTCTCTATCTAAGAATTTTCCTTCTTTGAAGCCTGGGTTTGTTTGTTTGCTTGGGTTTCCTTACATTTCAGTATGAAAATTTTAGCACCTACAGCAGGGAGTGTCCTGGCCCTCGGCGGCCCTCGGCCCCCGGCCTCAGCAATTTTCAGCGTTTTGCCAATCAGGTTCTGCCCTCTCACCACCAGAGGAGGCTGTTGCCCGCACTCACTGGCCTGCCAGGCAGCAAGAGCTGTGGGCGCAGGTGGACTCTGCTGTTGAGAGCTGTTTTGCATTGCTAAAATGACAAAGGACTTGTTCAAAAAGAGGCTCTGACCCTGAGACCACCAGTGCTAGGGCCCCCACCTTCCTCCACGAGGCTCGGCCTTCAGGAACGTGCTTCTGAAGAGAAGGAAATTCAGGGAGACATGGAGAAGGTAAAGGGGGCA